GTATCAACAAATTAATTCATTCGTTTTCATTCTAACTGCTTGTGTAAACAATTCCACATACAAATATTTCATTTCATACTTTCTCCAGGCAAACTATTTATTTTTAAATAAGGCCTTTTTGTGTGATGTTATCAGAGAGGGTTTTGATCCTCTCCCAAGTCTTGGAAATAACACAGAACACAGACAAACATATATACACAAATACTATTAAAACAACATTTATTTAAACATATGACTTGTCCTTCAAGGAGCGAGAAAAATCATGAGGTGATTCCAACCAAAAGTGTTTTTTTTATACGGCTCTTAATCATCTCCTATTTTTCTCACCATTCCAAGCCCAAGCATAATGTTCTGGGTGGCCACACATATACACATATACATAAACAAAACACACACACATCAATTTGGGGTTTGAGGCTAAAACAGGCCTCCCCTTTTAATTAAAAAGGAGGGGAACATTTATGGTTACTTCCAATTTATCCCAGCAACTTCAAAAGACATTGGGGAAAGACTAAAAGGAATATTGAAGGTGTGAAGGGTGAGGGAAAAGTAGCAGCCTCCTCTCCTCACCTCTGACAAAGGGGAATTGAATAGAGCCAGATTAAAAGGGGAAAAAAGGAAGAAAAAAAACTTGCTTTCAGTTCTTTGAATTTTCTGTTCTTTTTCTTCCGTGGCTTTACTTGTTATCAGATAAACTAGCCAACCAGAGGTTTACAAAGTTTTTCAATGTTGTCTTGTTAAAGATTATTTATACTTCTACACATCAACACAAAGCACCATCAGACATTGTCTGACAGGGTTAAACTTAACAGCTACTTGAAGTTTCAAAACATCCCAATTGTTCAAAACACATTGCAGAGGAGTACATTTTGATTTAATTTGTTTCTTTAAATTCCTCTGACAATTCCCCATATATATTTTTTCTACTTCAAGATTGTTCCTCTAATATTTTCCTTACGGGGGAGTATGGTGGCCGTAAGGAGGCAAAAGAATTAGCTCTTCAGAAGGAGCTGAAAATCCAATTAAAGATGCTTTTGGAGGCACAGTTTTTACTTGATCCTAATCAGGTGTGGGGCTTGTAGTTAATTGTTGCCCTGCTGAAGCATCTAAGCCAAATTTTTCCACTGCTTGATGGCATTGATGCCATTGATGTAATACCTATACTGGAGCCCGAGATTCAAGATGTAAAGTATGCCCTATCTTTTCCCAATCTCGTAACCTAAGCATCCATCACTTAGAATATCAAGGGGAATGTTTCCCTACCTCATCCACCAGCTTCCTTATGTCTGCCTCAGGCACTTTCACACCTGATTTGTGTAACAGGAATCTGAGTTCCTGTACATGTTTCTGCTGGTGCTGAGATAGATTGCAACCCTTACTTACCACTGAGGGGTCCCATAGGACGAAAGTGCACTTAGAGGTCTATTCCAGATGCTGGTAAGTATGTTGGCTGTTGCTCCCTCAGAAGGGGGGGCTGTCCCAGTTGCTCCATGGGGGGCTGCCCCTGTTCAGGGGCCAGATGTAAGACGCTAAGAAAAAGGCACAGGCATGTCTTGAGCAGAGGTTTGAAGCTGCAGGACACAGCTTGACAAACTCTGAGTTTATTGCTTCTCATATACTTATTACATACACCAGCTTAACCATTAGATGCTGACAAAGGTTTCTTCATTGGAAAATGTCTTCATGTAAGCAACTATTTTCTAGTAACACATTACATGATCAAAGACAGGTAAAAAGCAAACAGGAGAAGGAACTAACAAAGGCAGGAAAAGATAGGAGAAGGAACTTAAGCATATTATCTGTTTAGGTAGGTAAGGCATTAAGTCAAAAGGGTATGACCTTCTTGCTGCTTCATTAGGACAAAGGGTATCAAAAAGTTATGAGGTTTGTGGGGGGGGGGGAACACAGCAGTTTGCTGCACGTGCATTTTTCCCCACAGTAATCCACTCTTTCACCCATGTTAACACAGATGCTTGGTAATACAACGTCCATTCCGACAACCCAAAACCTCCATTTTCCTTAGCATCTTGTAATGTTTTCATCTTAATTCTAGCTTTTTTCCTGTGCCAAATAAAGTTCAAAACCAATGAATTTAAATCTTGAAAGAATTTTCTCTCAAGTTTTATCGGAATCGTTTGAAATAGAAATAAAATCTTCAGCAACACATTCATTTTTACTGTAGCAATTCTTCCTAATATTGACAGCTGCAGATTTTTCCATCTTTCCAAGTCTATATATATATATATATATATATATATATATATATATAATATATTATATATATATATATAGGTCTTTGGTTATTCGGGTTTTCTCCCACGTAAAAGTTGGAAGTGTCTTGGCGACGTTTCGACGAAGTCTCATTCGTCATCTTCAGGCTGGTGCTTTCGGCTTCGTGCTTCTGGGAGCAATGTGTGATTGTAGCTGTTTCCTCCTTTTAACTGCCAGTGGGGGGTATGAACTGATTGGATGAGAGCTTGGCTGTGTTCTGATTGGATGGAGGTGTGTTCTGATTGTTTAGGAGCTTGGCTGTGCTCTGATTGGCTGGGGGGTTGGCTGTGCTCTGATTAGCTGGGGGGTTGGCTGTGCTCTGATTGGCTGGGGGAGTGTTGTGTTTGGGTGAGGGCTTTGTTGTGCTCAGGTTAGTCTGAGTTGCAGGGGGGTTTAAAATGGTGAGCTGCATTGCTATTTTTTGGCTTCGCATTCGTGGTCGTGCCTCATCTTCATGGTGGGTGTCAGTTTGCTTCATGTATGGATTGGAGGGGTTTAAAGTGGCTAATGATGCAGCTGTGGTCTGGCTTCTGGTTTGTGGTCGTGCCTCATCATCGGTGTGGCTTTGGGTTTGCTTTTTGCGTGGATGTGTGGTGGTGACATCCTGTGTGGTTTTTGTGAGTGTGGGTCTGGTTTCATTTTTTGTGTTAGGGAGTCGTTTGTCAATAAGGGCGGGTTTCCAAATGGCTGGTAGACGGGAGGTATCATCTCGTTTGTTCATGCTGTGTGGGCGTTTTTCTATCTCGATGGCTTCTCTGATTATTCTGTTATTAAAATGTTCAATTTTGGCGATAGTTCTGGTCTTTTTAAAGTCAATTTCATGTCCTGTGATTTTAAGGTGTTGGACCAGGGAAGAAGTTGGTTCCTCTTTTTTGACTGAGTTCTTATGTTCTTCAATTCTCTGAATATTCCACCATATCTTAATCCAAAAGGCTTTTATATTTCTGCACGACCACCAGATATGATAATAGGTGGCATCCAAACAACCACATCTCCAACATTTAGGCTGTAGGTCAGGGTACATAAAAGACATTTTTTGTGGATCAAGGTGCCATCTATAAAACATTTTATAAAAATTCTCCCTTAAATTCTGTACTTGTGTAAATTTAACATTTCTCACCCAAATAGTTTCCCAGGTATCCAGTAGAACTGGTTCACCAAAATTCTGCGCCCATTTAATCATACAATCCTTAATTAATTCTGTTTCTGAATCCAATTCCACTAGAACCCCATAAATTCTCTTAATATGAGTTTGTCTTTGATCCTTCACTTGCTTAATAAGATTTTCATCTTCTCTGAGGAAACCCACCTTACGATCCATCTTCCATCTGTCTACTAATTGCCTATATTGAAACCAAGAATAAATAATATTTTCATGTGCTAGCTCTTCCAATAGTTTTAACTGCCAGTTTTGTCCATCCCATCTAAGTAACTGTGTATAAGACACCGTATCCATTTTGACACCTCTTTTTATCCCCTCTATCGCATGCCAAGGTATAGCCCATAATGGTATTTTAAAATCACTTTAATAATATTTTCTCCAAATCCTAAGTAAAGAGATTCTTATAATATGAGATTTAAAAGCCCGGTCCACTTTTTTATTAAATATTAAATAGGCATGCCAACCAAAAAGCAAATCCCATCCCTCCAAATGGAGTATCTCCAAATTTGTTAAATTTACCCAATCACTAATTGATGTTAAAACCACCGCATCATAATATAATTTCAAATTCGGTACCTTGAGTCCACCTCTCTCACGGGAGTCTTGCATGATTTTAAACTTTACCCTTGGTTTTTTCCCTGCCCAGATAAATTTGTTAATACCTTTCTGCCATTCACTTAAATTAATCTCATTCTTCAAAATCGGTAACATTTGAAACAAAAAAAGAAACTTGGGTAGAACATTCATTTTTATCACTGCAATTCATCCCATGAGAGATAATTGCAACTTCTCCCAATTCCTCAAGTCTTTCTGTACTCTAACCCACAACCTTTCATAGTTATTCTTAAACAATTTTGCATTAGAAACAGATAGAATCACCCCCAAATATTTTACCTTATTAACAATTTCAAAACCCGTCAAATTAACCAAAATCTGCTTCTCCCGAATACTCATATTTTTAGGTAGGATTTTAGTCTTATTAACATTAATCTTAAAACCATTGCCTTCTGTTCAGAGTGAGGATCAGTTTTCCATCTCTGACTGTGATCTGCGTGTTGGTTCCCCCCAGCTCTAGGTACAACTGCCTAGGAGTACCTAGACTGCAATGGCAGACAGTTCCTCTCCCCAGGCAACTCAGACCAGTGCCCCCCCACACACACAAGCAAAGCACAGATCAGAGGAATTGGACGTGGGGGGGGGGGAGAAAAAAGCTAAAACCAAACATTTGTCTTCTAAAGATACCTCCAAGTCAGCCGGGTGAGAGGCCACAAGGAGACACCTAGCACTGGAGAGAAAATTCTCCAAGGCACAAAGGCTCAGGTCCAGTGGGGCTGAAAGGGTTTCCCCCGCCCCACTGGACGCCCCTTTGTCAGAACCTCAATTTGAATCATCGCAGGATTCCCCAAGGCCTTGTTCTCCTTAGGAGGAAACTGAGCAGGTTGGTCCTCCTCGTTCCTCCCCTTCACTGTTACACCATACAACTGAGAGCAGGCATGCCTCAACAGAGGTTGGGGCCAGCTCCAGGGACCGAGGGGAAATGGGGTCCCAGGCTCAATTCTAGGCCTTTATGCACCATGCATTCAGGCAGTTTATGTCATCCACTGAAGGTAGCCAAGTGCAGTCGCATCCTACTCCTCCCACTTCCATTCCCCCACCTCGGGCGGAGCGTGGTACTAGACCTAGCTCCGATGTTTCGGAAACCTCCTCACAATTAGGGGAGGAGGGGTCAGTGGAGCTAGGGGTAGCAGACACTCCTTTGTCTGAGGAGGAGGAACCAACACCTGAGCAGGTGACCTCTTCCGGTCTCTTTGATCCGTCCGTTTTTCGCTCTCTCCTCATAAAGGCCATTGACACGGTAAAACTTACCTCGGCCCAGGAGGAGGCACCATCTTCCTCGGCCAACCAGGAAGCAAACCCCTTGTTTGCGGAAAAGGTCAAGGAGGACCCGCAGATCCCATGTCCACTAGTCTTCAAGACTACGGTGGAAAAGCAGTGGGCTTCACTAGCTACCACGCCTTCCCAGAGCAGTTTGGACAAGAGGCTTTACAATGTCTCTTCTTCCTTCTCTTCTCTTCTAGAAGTTCCATCTGTAGATGCTCCACTGACTTCTCTGTTCTCCAATACCACAGTTCCCAGGGACATGGCTGAATTCTTGAAGGCTGAGGACAAAAAGTTTGAGTTCTCCTTTCGTAGAGCTCACCAATCTTCAGCTTGGGCCATAAGGGCAGCAACCTCTTCCTCCTTCTTTGCACGTTCAGCGATCATGTGGATGCAGGAACTCCAGGCGCTCATTCCGCCGGATTAGGTCAGAGCGCACCAAGCAATAGGCAAAGTCATTGCAGCATCCGAATATATTGCGGACGCTTCCTTGCACTCGGCCAGATGTTCAGCCAGATCTATTGCTGCCTCAGTGGCTTCACGCAGGCTGCTCTGATTGAAGCAATGGCGCACTGATTTAAAGGCAAAGTGGCGCCTAGCAACATCTAAGTACAGTGGCACCCACCTTTTCGGCCCAGTCCTAGAGCCTCACATTATTGAAGGCAAGGACAAGCGCAAGGTGATGGCCCATCCCTCCCAAAAAATGGATAGGTGACCCCAGCAGGATTATCGTAGACCAGCATTCCGTCTCAGTAGCTCCTGGGACTGGAGACAGCCCTTTCGGGCAGGGCAGGGCAGTCCTGGGATTGGCCCAGAGGCTCGCAATCCTATTCTTTCAGACAGGGTCGCCAACAGGACCGCCAGTTTAGTGGAGCCAGGGGCCAGTCCCAGACCAAGCACCCCTTCAGGGGCTCGGGCAGTCGTCCTTACAGGCGGTCCAAGTGACGCCAAGGAGGATTACCCCATTGGGGGTCGTCTGGCACTGTTTTACGACATCTGGGAGAACACAACCACGGACGCTTGGGTCAGGGAGACAATAAGAAGGGGTCTCTCCCTAGAGTTTCGATCTTCTCCCCCAGATCGTTTCATACAGTGCCCGGTTTCAAACAATATTTCAAAAGCACAACTAGTCACGACAGCCATCGCACATTTATTAGAGATCAGAGCCATAGAAAGGGTTCCTCAGGACCAGATCGGGGAAGGGTTCTACTCCATCCTGTTTGTAGTTCCCAAAGCCTCAGGCGGTTGGAGGGCGATACTGGACCTAAAAGGTCTAAATTACTTCCTCACTTACAGGAAATTCAAGATGCAGACCCTAAAGTCCATCTTGGCAAGTATCAGGAAGGGGGATTTCCTTTCCTCCATCGACCTGACGGAGGCTTACCTACACATTCTGATCAACCAGGAACACCGCAGGTTCCTGCGGTTCTGTTACGCACGCAGTCACTACCAGTACCGGGCCCTCCCGTTCGGCCTATCATCTGCCCCGAGGGTCTTTACAAAAGTCTAAGGATGAAGCCCGTAAGGGTACAGTGCTACCTAGACGACATACTGATACAGTCCAAATCTTTCTGATCAGGTCAGTCGGACCTGGCAATCAAATTCAAACACTTCAGGATCACGGGTTTTCCGTGAATTTCAAAAAGAGTCACACTACCCCCACAAGACGCCTGCTCCATCTGGGAGCATTGATAGATTCCAACCTATGCAGGGTATATCTCTCCCAGGAGCGTCAAGTCAGCATTCGGAAGCTGGCTCAGCAGATCCGAAGGGAAAAGAGGGTACCACTGGTACAAGTATCCCAACTCCTGGGGAAGATGGTCTCTTGCTTGGGCATCGTTCTATGGGCCAGGCTACACTCCAGGAACCAGTGGTTCCTCCTTCCCTTTCAAAGATGCAAAGTCAGTGCCTCCAACAGGAAAGTCAGGGTTCCCCATCACACTCTGACCTCCCTTCTAAGGTGGACTTCGTCCGCCTTGAACAAAGGTACCCTTTTCAAGGAACCTCCCAGAATTACCCTAACCACAGACGCCAGTCTGTTCGATTGAGGGGCACATCTTCAGAGCCACATAGCTCAGGGTCAGTGGTCCAGTTTGGACCTGACACACAACATAAATTGGCTGGAGCTCAGGGCCATCCACCTGGCTCTCCAAAGGTTTTCTCCCCTTGTGTCAGGGAAATACGTGTTGGTCCTGACAGACAACATTGCGGCCAAGGCTCACATAAACAAACAAGGGGGGACCCACTCTTGGTCACTCATGCAGGAAGCCCTGGCCATAGGACTTTGGGCAGAGTCCACTCTGAGTTCCATCAGAGCAGAACACATCTCGGGGGAGGTGAATCAACAGGCAGACTCCCTGAGCAGGGCCACAGTGGATCACTCAGAGTGGAAACTGGACTCAGGTCTGTTCAGGGAAATATCACACAGGTTCAGACAACCCAACTTAGATCTCTTCGCCTCCCCAAACAACGCTCAGCTCCCCAGGTTCTTTTCCCGGTTCCCGTCGAGGGGGGTGGAGGGAACGGACGCCCTCTGGAGCAAATGGCCGGAGGGCGTACTTTATGCCTTCCCTCCTCTTCCGCTACTACAGGCAACTATCCGCAAGCTCCTCCAGGAACAGGCGGAGCTGATCTTAGTTGCTCCATATTGGCCGAGACGCCCGTGGTTTGCCGACCTGGTGGACCTGTCGCTCTCGCCACCTTGGAAGATTCCCCCGGACCGAGTAGCTCTCAGCCAGGGGAACCTACATCATCTGGACCCACAGTGGCTTCAATTAGCCGCTTGGCCCTTGAGCGGGAGAGTCTAGCCAAACAGTTTTTCTCCTCTGGGGTTATCTCTGTCATCCAGGCCTCACGGCGTCCCTCGACCAACAGTATCTATGATGCCACTTGGAGAGGTTTCTGCTCTTGGTGTACCAAAAAGCAACTTTCGCCGCTTGCTGTCACCATTCCAGACATATTGGACTTCTTACTTGAGGGGTTAACTAGAGGTCTCTCAACCAATACCATACGTCGGCAGTTAGCTGCCTTGTCGACGGTCCTCACCTGTGACAACCAAGTTTCCCTGTCTCAACATCCAGCAGTTAGTACCTTTCTCAAGGGCGGGGCCAATGTAGGGCCACCTACGGTTCATCGTTACCCATCCTGGGACCTGTCCAAGGTGTTACAGGCCTTAGTTTCTCCTCCATTCGAACCTCTGAGCTCTTGCTCCTTTCACTTCCTTACACTGAAGGTGGCCTTCCTAGTGGGCATCACGTCAGCCAGGAGAATTTCAGAATAGGCTGCCTTATCGGTCAGGGAGGACTTATGCACATTCCATGAGGACAGAGTGGTCCTCAGGCTGGATCCTGCATTCATTCCTAAGGTCAATACAGGGTTTCATCGTTCTCAGGACCTAGTCCTTCCTAACTTCTGTCTTAACCCTTCCCACCGTCTGGAAAGACGGTGGCATACCTTGGACGTGCGCAGGGCCCTGCGCCATTACATTAAACGAACCTCGGTCTTCAGGAAATCTGAGGCCTTATTCGTGTCCTTTCAGCCCTCTACCATGGGTCGGAAGGTCTCTTCCTCTACTATTGGTCAGTGGATTAGGGCGTGTATTTCCAGGGCTTATATTTCTCAGTCCCTTCCAGTCCCTTCACATATTACAGCTCACTCTACACGTAGTACTGCTGCCTCGGCGGCCTGGTCTACCCAGGCATCACTCGAGGAGATTTGCAGGGCAGCGACATGGTCCTCTCCTTCCTCATTCATAAAACATTATAGGATAGATCAATTTGCAGCAGCGGAGGCTGCTTTCGGTAGGAGAGTCCTACAGCAAATAGTTGGTTCTCAGGGGACACAGGCCTAGACTCCCTCCCTATAAGGACATGAGCAGCTTTGGTATGTCCCAATCAGTGGATTCTACATCCATTCTGATGGAGAAAAGAGCGTTGTCTTACCTGAATGCTTTTTCTCATCAGGATGGTGTAAAATCCACACCCACCCTGTTAGTGTTAGTCTAGGCTTGCATTTTTTGTTCTTTTTCTTGTTTTTGTTTGGAGCCTTGCGTCTGGATGCCTCGCCTCAAAAAAACTGGGGAAAGTCACACCCAGAAGGTGGCGTGGCAAAGTTTTTTTGTTTCTTAGTCTGAGCAGGAGGGATTAAATTACCCAATCAGTAGATTCTACACCATCCTGATGAGAAAAAGCGTTCAGGTAAGACAACGCTCTTATCTCTAAGAAATGGAATGAATTTTTTATGTGTGAGGTGATGGATTCTGCATAGGGCTGTAGTTGTTTGGCGAGAAATTTGGATAGGTTTTGTAGAGGTGAGCCTATGGAGCTGACTATGGGTCTAAGTGGGGTTCCTTCTTTGTGTATCTTGGGGAGACCATAGAGCTTAGGGCATCTGGATGATTTCTCTCTGGGAATGATTCTTTGCTGGATCTCTTCGCTAATGGGGGAGGCTTTTATTTTGGATCTGGTGGTTTTTTCCAGGTAGGTGGTGGGATCTGTGTTTAGGGGTTTGTATGTAGAGTCTTGGAGTAGGTTGGTTAATTTGGTTTGGTAGTCAGATGTGTTCATAACCACCGTGGCATTGCCCTTGTCTGCTGGTAAGATTATTATGCTGGTGTCTTCTTTCAGGTTACGTAGTGCTGTCTGTTCCTCTTTGGGTAAGTTGCTTTTGGGTGGCTTGCTGGTGCAGAGGATGTTGGTGATTTCGAGTCTGATTCTGTTAGCGTCGTCGGGGTTGATTTTGGTCAGGCTGGTTTCAACTCCACATATAATGGTTTCAGTGGGGATGTGTTTGGGAGCGACTGCAAAGTTGAATCCTTTGGAAAGGACATTGGTTTTGGCTTTGGTGAGGATCCTATCTGAGATGTTATGCACTGTTTGTTTCATGTGTGGCTGTGAGGGAGGAGGGTTTTGTTTCTGGCGTTCTTGTAGTCTTCGGAGTTTGTTGGTGTGTGTGTCTGTCTTGAGGGTGGTCTGTGTTTCGGCTCTCCAGACGGCGAGTTGTTTGGATTTGTCCCAAAGTGCGGGGTGGATCTTGTTGCTGAGTTTGAGGTGAAGTGTGAGGAGATCTTTGTTAATTCGGTCTAGGAGGAATCTTTTTGTGTGAAGTTCATTTCTGATTAGGGCCAATTCTGTTTTTTTCAGGATGCATTTGGTAGCTGCAGAGTTGGAGTGGAATTTCAGTTGGAAACATGTGGGGATTAAATTTTGATCTCGGCAGTTGCGTAAGAATGCGAGGTCACATAAAATGGAAGCTCATTGAACTTCAAGTTTTTCATAGGTCCTGGTCAGATGGTGGATTTCCTCCCCGTAGAGGTTCGATATTTGTTTTCTGAGGTTTTTGCGGGTGTTTGTATGTAGGTCTTTGGTTATTCGGGTTTTCTCCCACGTAAAGTTGGAAGTGTCTTGGCGATGTTTCGACGAAGTCTCATTCGTCATCTTCAGGCTGGTGCTTTCAGCTTCGTGCTTCTAGGAGCAATGTGTGATTGTTTCCTCCTTTTAACTGCCAGTGGGGGTATGAACTGATTGGATGAGAGCTTGGCTGTGTTCTGATTGGATGGAGGTGTGTTCTGATTGGTTAGGAACTTGGCTGTGCTCTGATTGGCTGGGGGGTTGGCTGTGCTCTGATTGGCTGGGGGGTTGACTGTGCTCTGATTGGCTGGGGGAGTGTTCTGTTTGGGTGGGGGCTTTGTTGTGCTCAGGTTAGTCTGAGTTGCAGGGGGGTTTAAAATGGTGAGCTGCATTGCTATTTTTTGGCTTCGCATTCGTGGTCGTGCCTCATCTTCATGGTGGGTGTCAGTTTGCTTCATGTATGGATTGGAGGGGTTTAAAGTGGCTAATGATGCAGCTGTGGTCTGGCTTCTGGTTTGTGGTCGTGCCTCGTCATCGGTGTGGCTTTGGGTTTGTTTTTTGCGTGGATGTGTGGTGGTGACATCCTGTGTGGTTTTTGTGAGTGTGGGTCTGGTATCATTTTTTGTGTTAGGGAGTCGTTTGTCAATAAGGGCGGGTTTCCAAATGGCTGGTAGGCGGGAGGTATCATCTCGCTTGTTCATGCTGTGTGGGTGTTTTTCTATCTCGATGGCTTCTCTGATTATTCTGTTATTAAAATGTTCAGTTTTGGCGATAGTTCTGGTCTTTTTAAAGTCAATTTCATGTCCTGTGATTTTAAGGTGTTGGACCAGGGACGAAGTTGGTTCCTCTTTTTTGACTGAGTTCTTATGTTCTTCAATGAGTGCACTTATTCTTCTGTTGGTTTGTCCGATGTATATGGTGGGACAAGTGGTGCATGGGATATCATATACTCCTTGATTTTCTAATTCAATTTTATCTTTGGGGTTTCTTAGCATGGTGGATATTTTTCTGTTTGGGCAGAATGCTGTCTTAATGTTATGTTTGTGGAGGATCTTACCGATTCTGTCTGTGGTGCCTTTTATGTAAGGGAGGAGGGCTTTGCCGTTTTCTTGTTCTCTGTCTTGCGTTTTAGTGGGGGTTTCTTTTTGGATTAGTTTGGTAATCTTATTTCGTTGGAATCCATTGGATGTAAGTACATTAGTGAGAGTGTGTAGTTCGGTTTTTAGGTGTTGTTCATCAGCTAAGCGTTTTGTTCTAGAGATGAGTGTCTTGGCTACGGAGTTGATCTGTGCTGGGTGGTGGTGTGAGAGAGCATGCAGATAGCGGTTTGTGTGTGTTTTCTTCTGGTAGATGGTGTGTCCTAGGGAGCCATTGGATTTCTTGTAGACTAAGACATCCAGGAAGGGAAGTTGGTTATTAGCTTCTGTTTCCATGGTGAACTGTATTTTGGGGTGTAGGCTGTTGAGGTGTATGAGGAAGTTGTCCAGTTTTTCTATCCCATGTGGCCAGATTATGAAGGTGTCGTCTACGTATCTGAGCCAGAGTTTGGGTTTGTGTTCAGATTTTTCTAGAGCTTGGGTTTCAAAATGTTCCATGTAGAGGTTTGCAATGACAGGTGAGAGGGGTGATCCCATGGGTGCTCCTTCTATTTGTTTGTATTTTTGTCCAGCTTTTATGGAACAAACTCCGACCAGTCCTTTAGCTGTTGAAATGAACAAGATCAGTCTCTGAGTTCTCAGCTGGAATGCTCAAGGTTCAAGTCACTCAAACACACAGAAATCCAACAAACCTGGTTAAATGTCCAAGAATCCTGAGGCAAGAAATCCAACAACAGAAGCAGGAAGCCATAGCATGAATGGTTGCCTTCGGCAACCAGCACCTCCCACACATCTCCTCTTTATAGTTCATCCAGGGTGTGGCTTCTTAATTACTCTTACTTTGCCTATGGAGCCACCCCACCACCCTCCATTGTCTTACTCTCCTCTCCTCTCTGCTCATCCGTGCATCTGGGACCGGCCCCAGCTGTTCCTCCTTGTCGCTTAGTTCCGACCCCCAAAACAGATGTGTCTCTGCCTGAGCATGTGTAGATGGGCCAGGCTCTGCATCTGGCTCTGAGTCTTCTTGCTCCTCAGAGCCTTCTGCTGACTCCAATGTGAACCCAGGGACCTCTTCCTCCTCATCCGATTCCTCAGATTTGGCTGTTGGATCTGCTGGCAGGCAAGAAATCACAACAGGTATCAATTGTACTATTGAATCTCCATTAATTACTTGTGGCTTTCCTGAAAAACCTTTGACAGGGTTGCAAGGCTTAATTAAGGACTGCTTCCATTCCACAGTTCCTGATAACTGTTTTGAACAGAGGCACTACTTTTATTCTTGCAGACTTCAGTCGGTGTTTCCCATTCAACTGACCAACTGGCATCACAAAAAGGTGATGGGTGCATGTTTGTATAAAGTCTGAGTGATTGTGAAGCCTTTAAGCCAATTTGCCTCTCTTAAAACCAATGAACAGCATGCCACAGCAGCTGAAGATTGAGAGTCAAGGAGTGTGGTGAAGTAAGAGTCCACCAATGAGAAAACAGGCCATCACATTTTTTGTAGATCATCTGCACTGCTAATTGAAAGATTGCTTTTTCAAAATGATTTTTGATACACTGTAATTGGTATAGAAGTCAGTCAGCTTAGCTGCCAAACACAGATGACATGAGATCCATAGGTCTTTATATAGGAGTTGATATCATTATAGAAGGACTTGGTGCCTGTAGCCAACATCAGAGTAATTCACTGCTTCAGACTCTGGAGGCTTTGTACCTACAGGTTGTTACAGCATCTAATATTGAGAATATAGCATATAGGGTACAAAGATGCATCTATTAGAGCAGTGTTTTCAAACTTGGCAACTTTAAGCTGTGTGGATTTCAAGAATTCCCCAGTCAGTCTGTTACAAGTTTGAAAAATTGCATGGGTCCTCATATGGGCCACCTATCCCTCACTACTAGTAGGGATCATATTTGGGATAACAATAGGTGTACATTTTCATACATTTTTCTACACACAAATGGTTAACAGAAAGAGTAAGCATGACAAACTGTTGAATCATTCCTATTAGTGGTGATTATCACTTATTATAATTCTGCAAAGACAGCGGAAAAGGAAGGAAATAATTGTCTGGGAAAGAATACTAAGCTCTGGTGCAGCAAAATCAGATACAATAAGGCTGAGTGCACCTTAATGTTAAAATGTGTGCTTTAAAATATAGGTATAACTGAATTTTGGATAAGTTGTTAAGTGAATCTGGCTTCCCCATTGACTTTACTTGTCAAGACCCAGGGTGGCAGCCCCAGTTCTATTCTGGGAGAAAAAGGATGGGTCTCTTCATCTATGCATTGATTATAGATGTTTGAACACAGTATCAGTGCAGAATGTGTATCCCTTGCCCCTCATGAGAGACATGCTGGCTCACCTGTCAAAAGGGAAAATTTTTCTCAAAGTTGGACCTGTGGGAGGCTTACTATCATGTCAGAATAAAGGAAGGGGATGAATGGAAAACTGCTTTCAACTAACTTTTGGGATGTTCCTAGTTCAGGGTGCTCCCCTTTGGACTATAGGGGGCACCAGCGGTGTTCATGCAACTGATTAATGAGGTCCTCCATGAACACCTGTATAAGGGGGTTTTGGTGTACTTGAATGATATCTTGATCTACACTGAGACCAAGGCAGAGCATGTGAAGCTGGTTAGAGCAGTCTTAAAGACATTCTGCTCCGCCAAACTATATGCCAAACTTTCAAAATGTGAATTTCATAAGGACAGAATTAACTATTTGGGCTACCGCATTTCGCATGAGGTGTGGAGATGGATCCAGAGAAGGTTGGGCTGTCCTGGATTGGGTCCCTCCCCATACCAGGAAACAGTTACAAAGTTTTCTGGGATTTGCCAATTTTTACAGACAATTTATCCCCTCATTTGTACAGATTTCACTCCCCATTACAAATCTGTTGAAAACTAAGGGAGAAAGTAAGCTGAAGCTTAGCCAGCTGTTAAAATGGACTGCCGAATGTCAAGCCACATTCAAAAAACTTAAGAGACTTTTTTCCACGGAGCCAGTGCTGAGGCACCCCGACCCAGAAAAACCATTTGTGATTCAAGCTGATGCTAGTGATGTAGCCATAGGTGCAATACTGCTTCAGAAGAATCCGGAGGGTGAGTTGCAATCCTACGCTTACACGTCTAAAAAATTAACTGAAACTGAACAGCAATGGACTGCTTGGGAGAAGGAAGCTTATGTGGTGTAGTGGGCCCTCCTAACTTGGAGGCATTTTTTAGAGGAAAGTAAAATCCTTTTTCAGGTTTGGACTGATCACAAGAATCTGGAAGCGCTAAAAAACCTCAGAAAGTTGTCTCCAAAACAGCCATGCTGGGCCCAGTACTTCCACCGATTTAACTTCTCAATCCACTATTTGCCGGGGGGGGGGGATGGAATTTCTAGCAGATGATCTGTCAAAAATGTCACAATACAACGGTGTGAAGTCGGGGCCAGTTAAACCTCTAATTTCCCCACACCAGCTGGTGGCCCTGGTCACAATGAGGGCACAGACGAAGAGCTCTCTGCTGATTGATAATGAAGTGGTCAGGGAGTTCAAAAAGGCACCTGAGAACAATGAGTGGTTTTGAGCCCTCTGTTCAGTGAAAGACAGCCTAGCCTGGGTCGGGGAGAAGCTGTATGTTGCTGTGAACCAAAGACTAAAGATCATGCAAATGTGCCACAACTCGAAGTTAGCAGATCACTTTGGATTTGTGAAACCCTCTACTTACTTAAAAGACAATTTTGGTGGCCTTCCTTAAAAAAGAACATTGAAAGTTATGTAGCTAGTTGCCATAAAGGCAAGAGAAAATGCCAGGGCTCCTACCGTCGGTGGCGAGCCCATCAGCACTATGAAGAGAGATTTCTATGGACTTTATTTTTTTAATATAATATTTTATTAGTTTTCTAATTTTACAATTAAACATTTAAAAAGCAATGTAGTGACTGGTAATCAATAATTCAATAGCATACATAAATCTTTAGGTCAAATCTCAAGTTACAACATCAGATATTTCCTCTCTTTTTCCCTTAATATCTGCTATCTCATATTAGGCTAATATAGTTCTTCTTGTTATCAACTAAGTAAAAACCATCTTTGTTATATTTATCAATAATTTTTAGCGCATTGTTGTTGTTGTTAATTGCGAAGTCGTGTCCGACCCGTCGCGACACTATGGACAATGTTCCTCCAGGTCTTCCTGTCCTCTACCATCTTCTGGAGTCCATTTAAATTCACACCTACTGCTTCAGTGACTCCATCCAGCCATCTCATTCTCTGTCGTCCCCTTCTTCTATTGCCCTCAATCTTTCCCAACATTAGGCTCTTCTCCAGTGAATCCTTCCTTCTCATTAGGTGGCCAAAGTACTTGAGTTTCAACTTCAGGATCTGGCCTTCTAAAGAGCAGTCGGGGTTGATCTCTTCTAGGACTGACCGGTTTGAACGCCTTGCAGTCCAAGGGACTCGCAGGAGTCTTCTCCAGCACCATAGTTCAAAGGCCTCAATTCTTTTGCGCTCAGCCTTTCTTATGGTCCAACTTTCACAGCCATACATTGCAACTGGGAAAACCATGGCCTGGACTATACGCACTTTTGTTGGCAGGGTGATGTCTCTGCTTTTTAGTATGCTGTCTAGATTTGCCATAGCTTTCCTCCCCAGGAGCAAGCGTCTTTTAATTTCTTGGCTGCAGTCCCCATCTGAGGTGATCTTTGAGCCCAGAAAAATAAAATCTGTCACTACCTCCATTTCTTCCCCATCTATTTGCCAGGAATTGAGAGGGCCGGATGCCATGATTTTGGTTTTCTTAATGTTGAGTTTCAAGCCAACTTTTGCACTCTCCTTCTTCACCCGCATCAAGAGGCTCTTTAGTTCCTCTTCACTTTCTGCCATTAGAGTGGTATCATCTGCATATCTTAGGTTGTTGATATTTCTCCCGGCAATCTTAATTCCAACTTTTGATTCATCTAGCCCTGCCTTTCTCATGATGTGCTCTGCATATAAGTTAAATAGGCAGGGCGACAGTATACAGCCTTGCCGGACTCCTTTTCCAATTTTGAACCAATCAGTGGTTCCGTGTTCGGTTCTCACTGTTGCTTCTTGACCCGCATATAGGTTTCTCAAGAGACAAATGAGATGGTCTGGTACTCCCATCTCTTTAAGAACTTGCCACAATTTGTTGTGATCCACACAATCAAAGGCTTTTGCATAGTCAATGAAGCAGAAGTAGATGTTTTTCTGGAACTCCCTAGCTTTCTCCATGATCCAGCGTATGTTGGCAATTTGATCTCTAGTTCCTCTGCCTCTTCGAAATCCTGCCTGTACTTCTGGTAGTTCTCGATCCACATACTGCTGGAGTCTAGCTTGTAGGATTTTAAGCATAACTTTACTAGCATGTGAAATGAGTGCAATGGTGCGATAGTTTGAACATTCTTTGGCATTGCCTTTCTTTGGAATTGGAATGTAAACTGACCTTTTCCAATCCTGTGGCCACTGTTGAGTTTTCCAAATTTGCTGGCAAATTGAGTGTAGCACTTTTACTGCATCGTCTTTTAAGATTTTGAATAGCTCAGCTGGAATACTGTCACCTCCACTAGCTTTGTTGTTGCTCAGATTTTCTAAGGCCCATTTCACTTCACATTCTAGGATGTCTGGTTCGAGGTCAGTGACCATCTCATTGTGGTTATCTGGGATGTTAAGCTCATTCTTGTATAGTTCTTCTGTGTAGTTTTGCCATCTCTTCTTAATCTCTTCTGCCTCTGTTAGGTCTCTGCCATTTTGGTCCTTTATCATGCCCATCTTTGCATGAAACGTTCCCTTCATATCTCCAATTTTCTTGAAGAGATCTCTGGTCCTCCCTATTCTGTTGTTTTCTTCTATTTCTTTGCACTGTTCATTTAAGAAGGCATTCTTATCTCTTCTAGCTACTCTCTGGAATTCTGCATTCAATTGGGTGTATCTTTCTCTTTCTCCTTTGCCTTTCGCTTCCCTTCTTTCCTCAGCTATTTGCAAAGCTTCCTCAGACAGCCATTTTGCTTTCTTGCATTTCTTTTTCTTTGGGATGGTTTTAGTTGCTACCTCTTGTACAATGTTGCGAACTTCCATCCATAGTTCTTCAGGCACTCTGTCTATCAGATCCAGTTGCTTAAATCTATTTGTCACCTCTACTGTATATTCATCAGGAATATGATTTAGTTCATACCTGAGTGGCCTAGTGCTTTTCCCTACTTTTTTCAATTTAAGCCTAAATTTTGCAACGAGAAGCTCATGATCTGAGCCACAGTCAGCTCCTGGTCTTGTTTTTACTGACTGTATACAGCTTCTCCATCTTTGGCTGCAGAGCACATAGTCAATCTGATTTCTATGTTGACCGTCTGGTGATGTCCATGTGTAGAGCCGTCTCTTGGGTTGTTGGAAAAGAGTGTTTGTTATGACCATCGTATTCTCTTGACAAAATTCTATTAGCCTGTGCCCTGCTTCATTTTGTACTCCAAGGCCAAACTTGCCTGTTATTCCGGTTATCTTTTGGCTTCCTACCTTAGCATTCCAATCCCCCATGATGATAAGGACATCATTTTTTGGTGTTAATTCTATAAGGTGCTGTAGGGCTTCATAGAACCGGTCAATTTCATCCTCTTCAGCACCAGTGGTTGGGGCATAGATTTGGACTACTGTGATATTGAATGGTTTGCCTTGGATTCGAATTGAGATCATTCTGTCATTTTGGGGATTGTATCCCAGTATTGCTTTTCCTATTCTTTTATTGACTATGAAGGCTACTCCATTTCTTCTGAGGGATTCTTGCCCACAGTAGTATACCTGATGGTCATCTGAGTTAAATTCACCCATTCCTATCCATTTTAGTTCGCTGATTCCTAAGATGTCAATGTTCAGTCTTGTCATCTCTTTTTTGACTACGTCTAGCTTGCCTTGATTCATGGATCTTACATTCCAGATTCCTATGGAGAAAAAAATCTTTACAGCATCGGACTTTCCTTTCACCACCAGATATATCCACAGCTGAGCGTCCTTTCGGCTTTGGCCCAGTCGCTTCATTCTTTCTGGCGCTACTAGTACTAGCCCTCTGCTCTTCCCCAGTAGCATATTGGACACCTTCCGACCTGGGGGGCTCATCTTCCAGCGTCATATCTTTTTTCCTTTTAGTACTGTCCATGGGGTTTTCATGGCAAAGATACTGGAGTGGTTTGCCATTTCCTTCTCCAGTGAATGACATTTTGTCAGAACTCTCTGCTATAACCTGTCCGTCTTGGGTGGCCCTGCACGGCATAGCTTATAGCTTCATTGAGTTACACAAGCCCCTTCGCCACGACAAGGCAGTAATCCATAAAGGGATTTTAGCGCATACATATCTTAATTGTGTTTGCATTCAATCCTTATATACAATCAATGTCTTGTTGTTGCTTTTTTCCCAGGCTTTAATTTCCCATAAATATTCAAATTAACATTTGATATTTATAATTTCCAAGCTTTGGGTGACCAAAGTTTCCCTCATCTCAAACATTTTTCTGTTTTCATAACAAAATCTAATATTCTAAATGCACATCTTATCTATTTGCATATAATCTTATTCTATTTTCTAAAAGTTACCCATTTTCTACCATATTAAACCAAAAGTCTGTTAATCTTATTATACATCTTACCTATTCAATTATAATGTTACTTTATTTCCTAAAAATTATCTATTTTGCACCAATTCAATCCTCAAATCAGTGGTATAAAATCCCCTCTAATAGATCAAAACCCTAGTTTCTTTCAGCCTTACTCTGGCTTTCTTCCTTTGCCAACTAACCTTCCATGTCAATACTTTTGAATCCTCAAACAGTTCTCCCTCTATTATTATATGTATTATTTGGAATAAGAAAGACCATTTGGCTACAGGTTTTTTTGGAAGAACTAGCCCATTTGTATTCATTGTATTGCCTCCCTGTTACTCCAATTTCCCACAATTGTCCCGATAGCTTTATCTTCCATTCAATCTGTTCCTCTTCCTTTTCCTCAAATTTCTTCTGATTTATGTAAAAAGTCTTTTCTATTTTCAATGTTGTCACTCCCTTTTCTGATTTTTCCATTGGCTGGATCTGTTGGTCAATTGGGTCCTCTGTCTTAGTAGTTAGTTGCTCCACTTCTCCTGTTACTTTCTGCATTGTTAGTTCTTTGGTTGCAGTCAAGATCTGGGTTTGTATATCTAAGCTGGCACCTTGTTCCTTTATGTTGCATCTTATTTTGTTACAAGCTGAAAGAATGGTTTTGTGTATTGATTTTAACATAGAAAGGAGTTTTTCCTGATCCATATTCTCTTGATAATGTGTTAATTGGAAGACTTTAAAATCAAACATTAAAAATAGTTTTTTTTTATAACTAGGTATGGGAGATCAATTTCATGTGTTATAGGTAGTCTTTATAGTGGAAATTGTCTGCCAAGTAAGAATTTATAGTCCAAAGTATTCCATCATCTCATGTAATAACTGATGCTTCTCATAAAGAAATAGGAAAGCAATTCCCCACATATAACTCTGAAAATCAGTAAAGGTTTACTTTCATAGTTTAAACAGGTGAGACATGCCACCCTAAAGTTCTTTCTTTACAGCTGAGTTTTTCACAGGTGGTATCTGTCAAGGTCAAAAGAGTTTTTTCTAGAGTCTGGGCTTCATGCCAAGTCTCTTTTAGGCAATAACAAGTTGTAATACCATACTTTGCCACAAGATGTCACCAATGCCATTTAAAACTTTTTAAGTCCAAAGTTTTTATAATAGTTTTCAAGGTTTATTTCTTTTCTTTTTAGATAAAAACCAATGTCTCCAGTAAAAATAGAAAAACTTTTAGTCCCCAAATTTCAAAAGTAAATGCATCCAATTAGATTAAAGTTGTTCTTATAATTGCTCTGTTTTCCCTGGATAGTCAGTCGTCGCTGTTCTTAGAGGGTGGGTTAAAAATTCCCTCTCTCCTCACAGGGAAAAAAAATACTTTGGGCAGCTTTTGCAGGAAAATATATTTAAAGTCTTAAAGAGAAGATCAGATCTCACCCAGTTTCATCCGCATTGTTTTAAAGGTGCTTGGTAGTAATTTTGACTTTGGCTGTCAGCAGCTTAGCGATGAGCCACATTGCTATTGCTGGTCTTTCCCCCGTCGGTTTGGAGGGCTGTCCCAGATCAAGTGGAAGGGCTGCCGCCCTCCCGCGATCAAGCGGGGGTCCCCTCCTTGCTTGTCGCCCCTACAGGATGACTTTTGACGGCTTCTAGTGTCCCCCAGCAGGGTGAATTCAGGCACGGAAGACGGAGCTCGCCTTCCTGTGTCCGCAGGAACCACAATGGCAAACCGGAAGTCATTTCTATGGACTTTATTGTTATAAATTATAAATTATTATAATTTTTTGTAATTACAAATGCTTAATATTTTATCAGCAACATATTATCTAGGTTCCAACATTTAACTTACTAATACATGTTAAATTCCTTTCTCTCTACCCCATTTTTCTAGCCATTGATAAAAGGTATCCCATGTTCTAAAGTATACTGAATCTTCTTTCTCTTTCATTTTCAATATGGCCGGTCACAAAGCTGCTAAAAGCTGAAGTCAAAAGCATCACCAAGCAACTTTCAAGCAATGTGGATGAAACTGGATGAGATCTGATCCTCTCTTTAAGATTCTAAGTTTTATTTCCTGAAAAAGCTGCCCAAAGCATTTCCCCCCCGTTAGGAGAGAGGGAAGGGAATTTTTACCCCACCCTCTAAGAAAAGCAGTGACTAACTATCCAGGGGAAATGGAGCAACCATAAGATTAATTTTAATCTAATTGGATATATATTCTTTTGAAACTTGGGGACTAAAAGTGTTCTCTTTTCTTATTGGAGACTGATGTTGTTTTTTTAAAATAAGACTTGAAAAACCACCATATAAGGTTTGGACTTAAAAAGCTATAAAACAGCGTTGGTGACATCTTTTGGCAAATTATGGTATTACAATTTGTTATTGTTTAAAAGAAACCTGGCTTGAAGCCCAGACTTCAGATAAAATTTGTTTGGCCTTGACAGCTACTAACTTTGAAAAACCCAGCTGCAAAGAAGGGATTTCTGGGCAGCTTATCTGTGTGGCAGGGATGATGTACTGTTTTGGAAGTTGGCCTACCTGAACTATGAATGTAAACTTTTACAGACTCTCAGAGCTATCCTTGGGGAACTGCTTTCTTATTTCCCTGAATGAGAAGCACATATTATTACACGAGATGATGGAACACCTTGGATTATAAACTCTTACTTGATAAACAATTTCTATTATAAAGACCACCTATAAAACCACCTATAAAACATGAAACAGATATCCCATACCCAGCTACAAAAGACAAAAATTATTTTTAACGTTTGATTCTAAAGTCTTCAACTTAACATATTATTAAGAAAATATGGATGAAGATCAGGAAAAAATCCTTTCCATGTTGAAATCTATACATGAAACTATCATTTCAGCTTGTGATAAAATAAGAAGCAACACAAAGGAACAATGTTCTAGCTTAAATATACAAACCCAGATCTTGATTACAAGCAAAGAAGTAACAATGCAGAAAACAAAAGGAAAATTGGAACAACTAAATGCTAAGACAGAGGATCCAACTGACCAACAGATCCAGCCAACTGAAAAATCAGAAAATGGAGTGACAACATTGAAAATGGAAAAGACTTTTCACAAATCAAGAAATCAGAATATATTTGAGGAAAAGCAAGAAAAACAGACTGAATGGAAGATAAAGTTATTAGGACAATTGTGGGATATTGGAGTAACAGGGAGGCAGTTTAATGAATACCAATGGGCTTTTTCTTCCAAAAAAACTTCAACCAAATGGTCTTTCTTATTCCAAATAATATATATAAAAATAGAAGGAGAACTATTTGATGATTCAAAGGCACTGACATGGAAGGTTAGCTGGCAAAGAAAGAAAGCCAGAGTAAGGCTGAAGGAAATAATGACGTCATCTTATTAGAGGGGATATTATATTACCAATTAGATGGTTGAACATGGTGGAAAATAGAGAACTTTTTAAAAACAGAGCTATATTATAATCAAATAGATAAGATGTATAACCAGAATATTAGACTTTAGTATGAAAAGGGAGAAAGGGAGAAATTGATATAAGGGAAACATTTAGTCACCTAAATATAAGATACTTGGAAATCATAAATAATAGTGTTACTTTAAATATTGATGGGAAATTAAAGCCTGAAAAAAGCAGTAACAGGATATTGATGTATACAAGGATTAAGTGCAAACACATTTAGGATATGTGTAAGCTAAACATTATTGATCTGTAACAAATATGTTTTTATTTTATTGATAACATTAAGAATTGTAATAGCCTAATATGAGATAACAGATATTAATGGAAAAAGAAAGGAAATATCTGATGTTGTAACATGAGATTTATACTAAAGATTTATGTACACTATTGAACTATTGATTAGCTCAGTCATCACATTGCTTTTTAAATATCCAGTTGTAAAATGAGAAAATCAATAAAATATTATAAAAAAGACCTGCCCCTGCTCTTGCCTCGCAATCCATTATGGTTGAGGGTGAGCAACACTTTGAAATCAAGGACATTCTAGACTCTTGTAAACACCATGGGTCCACTTAGTATTTAGTTTCCTGGAAAGATCTTCCTGCTTCACAGAATGAATGGGTCTATAAGAAGCATGTTAAAGCTCCCAGGTTACTCAAACTCTTTCATAAACAATATCCAGATAAACCTGATTGTTGTTTTTTGTTTTCTCTCCCCCCCTTCCCTTTTCTCTGTTTTACAGGTGGATCTGTCGTCTTTTTAGGGTGGGGAATGTGTCAGGACCCCTCAAATAGATTTGCCTACAGTATATTGTTTGTACCTATGTATTCTTTTTCGGGGCCTGCCATTCTGTTGGGAGGGGGGTTGGTTGGCTGGGGGAATGTATTTGCCTTGCTCTGCTTTGCCTTCCCTCTGTGTGAAAAGAATGTGGCTTAAAAATATCTGTCTTATCTCCAGACGATGGAGCCTGACACTGTTGGGAAACGAAACTGAGAGAGACCTAGATCATAGATTCTCAAAACAACCTAGTACCTATGGATTGGCTGGATTTCAAGTGGATGTTTGGATATGGTGGGAGGAAACCTGAATTGGCCTTTTGATGTAACCTTTCGTGCATAAAATCTTGCTTTGCCTTCCTGCTATCACTAATGCTCAATAAAAGTTCCTTTTGAAACAATGCCTGTTTCAAGATTCTGCTTCCTTGAGAGATCTAGTTGAGGCAGGTCCTTACAGTTGCCTAATTCACTTATAATAGCAGAAACGTATTCAATGAAATTCACACATCCACACAAATAACATAATCATATTAAGCAATTAGAACATAATTATTTGAATGCAGATACCCAAAACAACCTTAGTAGAAAAGAAAACAAATGTCTAAAAACAAACAACATAACCTAATTTAATTGTTTTATTTTTTAAATATCTTGCTGCTAGTTTGGTTAATTATTAATAACTGCTTTTCATCATAAGCTTACAAGTTGTCAATATTAAAATTATTTTAAACAGATTAATTATTAGGACTTCAACATTATTCAAGTTCCCCTAGAGCAAACTAAGATTTCCCCCCTTAGCTTTTTCTATGTCTAGCACTATTGAACAATAATGCTAAACAAGAGCTAAATTGAACAAGAACCAGACATTATAATAATAATAATAATCCTTGACGTGGTTGTGGGGCTTGTGTACTCTGAGGAAGATGAAAGCTATGCCAGAGGTTCAACCATACTGGACAGGTCTCATCAGAGGAGTCAGACAAAGAGTGTCTCTCCCATAAAAAATATGGTGAGACGTAAATTGCAGAATGCCATACCGGCTCGGACGTCGCCCGGGTTAACAAGGTCCACGCTAGATATTGGAGTTCCTGGATATCTGGTGAAAAATGGGTTACAGGACTCAGGACTGTTGGCTGAGCAACCAGGGCCAGCAGCTGCAGAACTACTGGAAGAAAAGGTGTTTACCCGTCGCAGATACACAGTGATGGAAAACAAAGAAATAATGATCTGTTACTACAGATCAAGTCCAACAAGAAGAGGATATCTAAAACGAATGCACCAGTTCTGGAAAGAACAACATCCAGAATCAGAAATAACAGAACAGAGACTAGCAGATCAACGCCGATTTATAACACGAAATAAAGTATTCACAGAAACAGAATTGGACGAACTGCAAAGGTTTACCCAGGGCAAAGAAATCAAAGCCTTACCAGAAGTAATTCAGAATGTAGAGGCAAACCAGGGGGAGTTGGCAGTGAAGGAATCTAGCAGAGATATACAACTGTTCTCATTTGGAAACCAGGCACCTCTACCTCAGGAAGAACAAAACCCTCTAACTAAAGAAATAAAAGAATTGAAACAAAGAATAACTGAGCATCTAGAACAGCACAAAAACAACAGAATAAGGCTACCTGCATTGAAGCTTGTTCCAAAGAAACAGCTAGCACAAGCATTAAAAGATGCAAATACTGCAATATCAAGTATAAGCACCAATTCACTGCAAGAAACAAACCAACTAATGTACAGCACAGCTGCAGTTATAACAGAATACCTGGGATGCAAAATCAACAAAGAAGAAAAACAAACAAACAGTGCACCAGAAAAATGGAAGGTTAGACTAGAAAATAAGATCAGCAAGTTAAGATCACATGCAAGCAAGCTAGAACAGATGAAAGAAAAGAAGCTGAAGAACAATAAGACCAAAGAATACCTAATCAAGAAATACCACTTAGAAACAAGGAAGATCAAGGAAGCACTGGAAATAATAAAGCAACAAATAACAGCTATAGCCAGGAAAATCAGTAATATGAAGCTCGAATTGCAAACTATAGGCAGAACCTCCAATTTCAATCCAATCAGAAACGTTTCTACCAATCCATCAATGGAGAAACTGCAAGGAATCAGTCAGTACCTGACAAGGAAAAAACAGTGCAGTTCTGGAAGCAGATATGGGATAACCCAAAGAAATACAACAAGGATGCGGCTTGAGCAGAACGGAAACCGCCCCAATAGCAGAGGAACAAAAGATCAACTCCTAATAGACAAAATGATCTTGGAAAACTGCAAGAGAAGGAAGACCAACCTGAATGTGGCATGGATTGACTACAAAAAGGCATTTGACTCTCTGCCACATGATTGGATAATCAAGTGCCTAGAAATAACAGGAGTCAGTAGAAACATCAGAAAATTTGTGCAAAGATCGATGGCACAATGGAAGACACAGTTGCAAATCAATGGTGAGAAGCTGGGAGAGGTTAATATCAAGAGAGGAATATTTCAAGGAGATTCATTATCACCATTACTATTTGTTATTGCACTGTTTCCTCTGTCAACAATACTGAATAACTCAGGACATGGCTATCAAACATCAAAAACATCTGCCAGACTATCCCACCTCCTTTACATGGATGATCTGAAGCTGTATGGAAAAACATCATCTGAAATAGAATCGCTGCTCAACACTGTCCGTATATATAGCCAAGATATTGTAATGGAGTTTGGCTTGGACAAATGTGCCACACTTACTATCAAACAAGGAAAAATAGTGAAAACTGAAGGAATCAAGATGCCCCACGAAAATAACATTAAGAGTCTGGATGAGGAAGAGTACTACAAATACTTGGGTATCCTTCAAGCTGACAACATCAAGCACACTGAAGTCAAGAAAAAGATTAGAGGTGAATACATCAAGAGAGTGAAGAAGATCTTAAAGTCCAAACTCAATGGAGGAAATACCATAAAGGCAATCAACACCTGGGCAATCCCAGTCATTAGGTACACAGCTGGAATAGTGGACTGGACTCAAGCAGAACTAAAAGCAATGGATAGGCAGACCAGAAAAATAATGACAATGAATCATGCCCTTCATCCACGCAGTGACATTGATAGACTTTATCTACCAAGGCAAATAGGTGGGCGTGGAATGCTACAAGTACATCAGATGGTTGAAGAAGAAAAAATGGCTTTGGAAGAATATCTGAAGAACAATGATGAAGATGCACTGAAATTAGTATATGAGGAAGGCTTACTAACCACTGGAGAGACCAAACTGGCCTACAAGAAAGACCAAATGAAGAACAGAATAGAGGCATGGGAAGACAAAGCACTACATGGCCAATACATGAAAAAAATAGCTGGGAAAGCAGATAATAATAAAACCTGGCAATGGCTAAGAGCAGGAAAATTGAAGAAAGAGACCGAGGGACTAATTCTGGCTGCACAAGACCAAGCCTTAAGGACAAATGCATACAAAGTCAAAATTGAGAAGACAGCAACAGACAGTAAGTGCCGCCTATGCAAAGAAGCTGAAGAAACAGTGGACCACTTGGTAAGCTGTTGCAAGAAGATTGCACAGACTGATTACAAGCAGCGGCATGACAAAGTAGCAACAATGGTGCATTGGAAGATCTGCAAAAAATATCATTTGCCTGTAAGCAAAAACTGGTGGGATCATAAAATAGAGAAAGTCATAGAAAATGATAAAATTAAACTGCTCTGGGACTTCAGAATTCAAACAGACAAGCACCTGCAACATAACACCCCAGACTTAACAATTGTCGATAAGAAAGACAAAAAAGTCTGGATAGTGGACGTGGCAGTGCCTGGAGATAGCAGAATAGAAGAGAAAGAACTGGAGAAAATAACAAAATACAAAGACCTACAAATAGAAATAGAAAGACTGTGACAAAAGCAAGCAAGGGTAGTACCAATAGTATTAGGCTCCTTAGGTGCAAGCCCAAAACAACTGGAGCACCACTTGAACACCACTGGCATTGACAAATTCGCTATTAGTCAATTGCAAAAGGCAGCCTTATTAGGAACTGCTTCCATCCTGCGACGATATCTGTAATATCATCAAACATCCACATTCCCTCTTCTTTATGGCAGCCCCTGAGATATTGGAATACTGCTATCATGTCCCCCCTTGTCCTTCTCTTCATTAAACTAGACATACCCAATTCTAGCAACTATTCCTTATATGTTTTAGCCTACAGTTCCCTAATCATCTTTGTTGCTCTTCTCTGTACTCTTTCTAGAGTCTCAACATCTTTTTTACATCGTGGTGACCAAAACTGGATGCAGTATTCCAACTGTGGCCTTACCAAGGCATTGTAGAGTGATATTAATACTTCATGTGATTTTGATTCTATCCCTCTGTTAATGCAGCCTAGCGCTGTGTTGGCCTTTTTGGCAGCTGCAGCACACTGCTGGCTCATATTTAGGTGATTGTCTACTAGGACTCCGAGGTCCCTCTCACAAATTGTGACAACCACATCCACACAATGCAGATTTAGATTTTCACTAGTACCTTTAGTCTTTTAAAAATTGCTTTGATTATCTTATGGCTTTTGCTATACCTGATGGTTTCCCAAGTAATAAGAAACAGCATTTTGGGGTTTTAAGCAGATAAGAATCCAAGATAATTTGTTCAAAGAAATATAATATCTTAAAAAAGAGGATTTGGTGATAGCATAGGGCTGTCTGAATGTTCCAGTCATTCTTAGCAGCATGATATAACAATGGATCAAGCATACATTTCTCTGACAGTATCTTAACTGAGATACAGTATGGGGTAATAGCCAAAGTGTTGGACTGAGGGAGAAAAGCCAACATCTACACCCAGCCACGAAAGTTCATAGGTAAATTTGGGTCACAGGTAAATTTCTGCTAGCCCAATCTACCTTATAGGATGGGGTTGTGATGAAAAATAGGTGAACATGGTATTATGTATTATGTCTTAAGTTTCTGTTATAAAAGGTGAGATATCAATAATTTCTATTTGAAAAATTAAAAAATAGAATTTTTTTCTAATTAGCATACGAAACAAAACCAGTCTGGTCAGAGTCACCATTTTACAAGAAAGAAGCAAATGAGACTTCTTCTTAAGTTATTGTAGTATCACCTATTTAATTTTACCTTCATTTTGTATCTTTTTCAATGTTGCTGATCACTTACCAAAGAAATATTACTGTACTGGTCAGCTAATGAACACAGTATTTATGCAGCAACAGTCCTGGGAAAAGAACATGAAACTGCTTGACCCTTGTCATGCAATTCTTCCTCCAACTACCTGAACCCTCCACCCCTACCAACTACCTATGGTCCAGTTACATTCAAAATGAAGGCATTATGTGGAACTTCATCCAATTGGCTTTTTCAATAGCCATGTTTTGTGGCCAGA